TACACACCTCAAAGTGTTTAACAAGGCCAGTGAGAACAAGATTGTAAAAGAATGACCTTTCCTTCATGCATAATACTTTAAATTTCTTTTTACTTTAAATTTGACAAAAACAACAAGTCTAAAACAACAATAACAATGACAATAATAATAATAATAACAATAATAAAAACATGAGTTCATTTATTAGATTCTTGTTCAGCTACACTAGGCATTACAGCAACTCTTGAATAATTTCTGATCAGTTCAGGTCTTTGACCAGCCTCACTAGCTGTATACACTGAAAACACAATAATAATAATTTATAATAATAATAACAAAAATAATGGTTAGAAAAAAAATTATATTAAATTTTCTGATGCATAAGTTCTTATGTTGGGTATCATAGTTTGAGTTGACTCCAATCAAAATTGGAGTTTTTATGAATTTTAAAGTTGCTCAAAAATCAGGTCAAGTCCCAGGGTATTTTTTCAGAAATAGCTAGGAGAGAATTCTCCATTTTTATTACATGCATATTAATTATCAGACCCTTACTGAAATATTACCCCCAGGGGAAAAAGAGAGAGAGGTTTGTCCCCTTACCTTCATCAGGAGGTGTTGTAGAGATAGCAAAACTAACAGTACTCCTGTTCTTACTGAAGGTGACTCCGCCCCTCTCCCTCGCTCCAACTGTTAACTGCCTCTCTCTCACCCTCTGGTTACGGTGGGACATGAACCACACCCACAGCCTAGCAGGAACCAACTGATACACATAATTCTAAAAATAGAAAGTATCATTTATCATATTATCATCTACTGTATAGCGAGAATCTTTTATGGCCAAAAAGTAGAAAATTAAAAATATTAATTCGACAAAATAGATCTTTGGATCAATTCCCAATAATTTGGATCACAAAAATATCTTACTAATTACTATACAGTACTGTAATAATAATAATAATAATTATTATTATTATTCATACTATGATGGCGTGTATCCAGTATCCACAGCAGTTTGATCTATAGTCCAGTGTCCTTAATGCATGCCTTACATACACTTCTGGTGAAGGACTGACAAATGAATTATCCTTTGATAGAGGAAGTGGTGTTAGTGTCTATAAATTAATAATAATAACAATGATTATTATTCTGTTCAAAATACATTTGTATCTATCAAAGGAATACAGTATAACCTCCTCCTATTGTGGACACTCTAAAATAAGGACACCTCTATAATGAGGAGGGGTAGTATCAGTCCCAATACAATAGTAATGTGTATTAATGAACCTCTGAAATAAGGACAGGTTCATAATCAGGAGCTAGGGTATTATTGGGTCCCAAGGTGTCCGGAATAGACAGGATTGACCGTACATTAATACATTAGTTGATATTACCTGTACAGTGATTCCTTTGTGATGATACTCATCGTGTAGGGTTCGTCCTAACATTGTCACAAAACTCTATCAATAAACATTAATAACCATTAATAACTAGCAACCACACCCACCATTGAAGCAGCTTCAGCGGCTAATAGAGGAGTAGGGGGAGCATCACCTAAAGCTGAGGATACATTGATAATAGCACCTCTGCCTCTCTCCAGCATTGTAGGTAATATCATATGAGTCATCTAATAAACAACAACAACAATAAACAACAACAACAACAATAAAAATAATAAAAATATATACAGACTAGCCTCTATATAATGGACACTTATGTACAAGAAAGTGTCTCTGTTATACAGAGGTGTCCTTTATGTGGAGGTTATTTTATACAGTAAGGAATGTAATTGGTACACTAGGTGCTGTCCGTTAAATGGAGGTGTACGCTATAGAGAGTGTCCATTAAGAGAGGCTATACTGTACAGGTATCATGTATTTAACGTTACCATTGTTGTTGATGCTATGTTGACATTTACCAGCTGCCACAACCGCTAAAAATAACAATAATATTAATTAATTTATTTATTATTTCTTACATTGTTTGGTACTTGTGAGAAATACTGAGGATGATCATATTTTATTGGATTAACATTAACTGAATAAGAATAAGTACATCAATATGTATCAGAAAACGTAATAAAAATTTGGGGTGATTTTGGAGCCATTTTTTGAAAAAACCATGGGCTATAGCCTTGGGTAATTTTCAGAATTTTGGCATTTTTTAAAAATAGCCGTAACTTGAAAAATTGAAGCCGGAATCAGCTCAAACTTTCTACACAGCATAAGGACATCAATATGTATCAGAAAATGTAATAAAAATTTGGGGTGATTTTGGAGCCATTTTTTGAAAAAAACCATGGGCTATAGCCTTGGGTAATTTTCCAATTATTGACGTTTTCTTAAAATGGCCGTAACTTGAAAAATTGAAGCCGGAATCAGCTCAAACTTTCTACACAGCATAAGGACATCAATATGTATCAGAAAATGTAATAAAA